TCAAGTTAATTTCCAACGACTCCAGTTTAAGAACTGACAAATGTACTTGAATGCTTATTTAGCACGTAGCGCGCGACGAAGTGAGCTTAAAGACTTCAGACAATGAAAATATTCTGCGCTTCAAGCTTGAAATCCGAGTAGTCTTCCGGCCAGCAAAACGATTAATCGTCAACGTCTTTAAGTAAGATCGTGGTATTTGAGTTTAGGTGTCTGTCGAAAAAACGTCCGACAAAATGGTCGACAAAATAGGTGCTATAAAAATTTTAGCAACAAAGTGTATCTCTTCTTCTTTCAAGAAATGAAAACTTATATTAAATTGTACGAGCATTCAGAAGCCAATCAGTGTAAGTAATTCTCCATTAAAAATGACTTGTGTCACACGTATATATGTTTCTTGTCAAAATTTTCAGTTTAATTATAATATTGTTTAAATTTTGATAATGAAATGGTATTTATAGGGCACAAATTGTTTTCAATGAGAGATGTGACTTGCTCTGGTTGATTTCTGAGCCATCGGTATAAGCCGAGAAGATTTTTAACTGCAGGAAACTTGGAACTACAAAAATCGAAAAATGTTTATGCATCTTTCAATGATTATTTCACGATTTGATTTTCTTTGAACAGAATGGTCACGTGTGTACATTCAATAGTACATTAATTAATCTATCTACAGTGGCGCCTCGAAATTTGAACATAATCCGTTCCAGAAACGATTCGATTTTTGAGTTCAATTTCCCCACAAGGAATAATAAAAATTGAATTAATTTATTGTAGAATCCCAAAATTTATCCAACATAAAGAAAATGTTAAGTGCCTATATAAACTATTCTAAATATTTGAAGAACATACTAGCAATGCCAAAGCAACAAACAAGTGATTTAAATTATTGAGAAACAACTTCTTGCTTGGTACTCAACTCATGTTCAACTTTGAAGTTTTTGACCGAGTTTCGATTCTGCGATCGAGGATCCACTGTACTTTCGATATAAAAAATTCCGTAACATAACATTAGCCTTAGGAGAATAAAATTGCAGATCCTTTCAGGCCTTTTTGCGATCTTTGTTCCAAGTTACGAATTATATTTGACAAATATTCCGGCTGCACCTATGACCAGTGACGTTTTTGCTAGAATCGTAAATGTCTACAGGGGGAAAGGACGCAAAGTGTTGTAGTCTAATTATAAGTTACTTCACCGCGGAAGAGAAACTGTGATAATATCTGGGCTTTTCTGCGTGAAGTAAGATAGTACGTGGAGAGTATAAAATGCCATAGTATAAAATAAATCGGTTCCGTAGCATTTGATTTTGTTACGAGATAGATCGTTAAGGATGATGTATTGTGAAACTGAAGAAGGGGAAAGGAGCTAAGGTACCGCTGAAGTCTTAGAAGAAGTTGAATGGAATAGCTCTCGAAGCAAAGAACCAAACGGCATTGTATACTTTCGTTTATTACGAATGTTCATCATTATAGTTGTTTTCCTCTGAAAAACGTGGCGACGATAATTTTGCAACAACATTATGTATGTATAAACGTGTTACGCATCATGTGTTTATCAAGTATAATTTTCTATCCATTTGTGTTCGTTATTATCTATAAAGCGATAAATCCTTTCTGTCGATTGAATAACTAAGAAACAAAAAAATATATATTAAAAGTGATAAATCATTTTTTTGAACAATTTACGATAAGTACTTAATGAACACATCGTGTAATTTACGTACTTTTTTTTTTATTACACAACGCTGCAAAAATTGCATGTATGTTTACAGACAATTACTTTCAATTTAGATTAATGGACATTTCTTGTTGTATGAATTTTATGTAATAAGATCTCTGGTATCTCATCGCCGTGAAATCGTTTCAATAAATAGAGGTCCATTGTTCCTATGTTTATTACCATATTCGTGTCCAAAATTTGTTTATAATAGCATTTTAGGTATAGTTAGTCTCAGTATCTTCAGTTCTCTTATTTACCTCATTAAAATAGTAGTAGCATTGATATTTTCTTCCTTATGTTAACTTCTTTATTCTCAAATCTTCACAACAAAAGATTCATCCTTTGTGATGTATCTTTTTATTAATTGTTTGCTTTTACGTTCATTGCAATAAATCTCTGATAAAGTTGCTTTGCCTATAAGATTCTCGTATGCTTTTTTAATACTTGAAACATTTAGGATTGAGTTAATTTTATTTATCTATATGATATAACGATATCAGTTTTATAATTGTGTTAGCGAAATTTCATTCTGGGTGTTCACAGTTTCAACTATTATTTTATTAAAATGAAACTTCATGTATTTTTAACGGCTACGTACATTTCAATCGCTGCTTAATGAAACAAGAAACTATTTAAATTTATACAAATTATTGATTGTGTATTTTATATTTATATTCCAATCATATACAACAATTATTTCGCATTATTAATTGCTGCTTGTCTTTTTCACGTCTACAGCTAGTATTTTTATATTAATTACATTAAGAATCTTAATTTAACGTGCAATATACATATATAGTTTGTGTATTATAACGACAAAATATAACTTGTATTTTTATATTTTTCAAATCAAATTTCTTTGGTAAATGATAATTATAATCATTTATCATGTTCAACAGATTACAATTACATTAGGAAAACACAATAATTTAAATTTACAAAGTAAAATACTAGATCTTTCTATGAATCGGTGAAATCATTGCGAAATCATTTATCTCGTCGAATACTCAAAATTCGACAACGATCGTTTTTGATTTTATTATTAATCACGATAAATTTGATCAGTCTTCAAAAAATTGACAAATACGAAATTTCGAACGATACATTTTTCTTTCTCGGGTTTCTCGTCCGATTATAAGTACCTTTCAGTTAGTAATTTTTTCAACACTAAATAACGAGAATAAAACAAGTGTTGTATTTTATTCCATTCTACAAAAACCCGAGGAACTCTAAACTTTATTTACTTGCGTGCATTCGTCTCTCTTACTTATCCGTGATCATTCTATCTTTCTCGGTCGCGTCCTTATCACCCTCTTCGATTTTTATAATTGGCTTCGCCGTTAATTCCTCCAGTTTTTGTCCATTGTCTTTGCTTGACTTACTATACTTGTTCCACGGTTGTTCCTTCGATGTTCCGAACACTAAGTAAACAACGGTTCCAACGAAAGTGTTAATAGCAGCAATGATGAAAACTAATCGCCATTGCGATACGGTTTGCTGAGGGAAAATAACAATGGTAATTAATGATGAATTATAATTACATACGAAATAATAATTAAAGGATTAACGATAAAACGAGGTTGTTTCAAAATTTTACTATTAAATAGCCAAGAAAAGTTTCCATATATATAATATTTTGCAGTACGAAATTTTAAACTTAATGCTCAAAATCATCCTTGACAATTGTTTCCACTGTTCTCATTCTAATACTTACATTGTTGTGCGTTAAAATACCAACGATCGCTGGTGAAATGAATCCACAGGCTATTACCACCATTCCGCAAAAACCAAGGAGAATACTAGCATAATTTGGACTCAAATCTACGAAAGTCGCTAAGGGGCCAGCGGAAACCGCGCCATTCACAGTTGTCCCTGCTATCATGAAGATCACCACAAGCGTTGAATGACATCCGCTATAGCCCAAAGCCAAGATGAATATCCCTTGCAAACCAGTGCATACGAACATAGCAATTTTTCTAACATTGGTCAAACTCATCTTGTTGGTACGTATGAGCCAATCGCTCATAATTGAGTAATAATACGAGAAAATCATTCTGAACAGGTGCGGGGATCCAGACAGAAATCCAGTCTGTAAATAAATTTCCATTGACGATTAATTGATATATTGAGGACATTAGTAGAGATTTTGTTTCATCTTCTGAATATCGATTTATATTATTAAACTTAAAATAATTTTCTTTTCCAAAACATTATGTGTGTGTGTGTGTGTGTGTGTGTGTGTGTGTGT